AGTTTTTATCATTGATAATTGAAAGTATCTGACTCTGTGATTGGTGCAAGCGAGTGAGCAACCATCTATTGCTGAAAATTTCCATTGATTTTTTTTGTTTATTTAGTGATGTGGTGGGTTTTTGTTGTGGTGAAGCCATTTCATGAGGTTTATGTATCAGTGTGATGGGAACGTGTTGCTAGGTTTCTCTTGAGTGAAGCTTACTCAAATTGTTTGCCTATATATTTAAAAGCTCAAAAGCATTCGCAATTTCTGTTCACGTAAAAATCATCCCCTTTCAGACTTTGTAATCCTACCTACCTTGTACAGTTGTTTTACAACAGAGGTTCTGGAGGGATTTGATGTACAGAGAACAACTGGCTTAGGTGACACTCTAAAGAAGTATGGTTATCTTACCCAAGCAATTTCTCAATATTATAAGTCAGAAATTCTTGTAAACAATGTTAAAAGCTCTGGGACATGTCCTCCTTTTGATGATTTTATCAAAAGGTGTCAAGACGTTGAGAAAACAACAGTTAGTGATGTATTTGCCATCCAGCTTATGCAGGTACTAACAATTTAAAAATTTAATTTGAACTGTTTTTCTATTGATTGTTTAATTTGTCTAACTAAATGAATCCATTGACCTTGAATACCTTTTTAATTTGCAAGTAAGAACACATCTACCCCACCTTCGGGTGTAATTTTGCTTTCAAATTCTATTTACTGGCAATTTTCAGAACTCACAGCATAGCTTAAATCGAGTTCTTTGTTTTTGGATCATTGCTCATTAGTCCTTGGAGAAATTGTATTCCTTTTTCTGTGGATCCTCAAATTTTACTTTGACGGTGTATTGAAATATGACCAAGAACTGGCTGGTTGACACGGCTGTTTTTGGTCTTGTGCAATTTCACTGAGCAACATGTTTGTTGTTAACCTTTGTTTTACGTAATAAATTACAATTACTTGTAAAATTGGATGTGTAACTCTAGTACCCATGATTTTCATCCTGTAATTACTATTTTTTTATTCAAACATTTTGGAATTTGCAAATGCAGGTCCCACAGGTTACAGAGGAGATTGCCATGGCTGTGTTGGATCTGTTCCCTACACTTTTCTCTCTTGCCCGTGCATACTCATTACTTGTGAGTCCTCATTTCTTTCTCCCTTCTAGTAAGTCAATTGTTTAGAAATGACAATTTGATTTAGACTGGACTGGATGGTTTACCTGCAAAAATTTGTACAGAGTAAGGGTTTTTGGATGCAGTACACACTACTCTACCCATATAATATGTCATGCTTTATGACTAGGACGTTTTGGTCCATGGATATGGTCCATCGGTGTTCCAAGGTTTCACTTTAAACTAATCTAGCTTGATCATGAGATAAGTAAAACCTAATCATGGAATGTTCTGCCAAAGAGTGAACTTGGGCAGAGTCCGAAAAATTAAAAATGTTCAACACTGATACGAGTGTGTTTAGAGTCTTGGGAAATGGCACTACTATTGGAGACTTGAGACCTAGTCCATTTTATGGCGTTCTTTCAGTACATTCTTAGCAGCTCTGTCACTAACTTCTGATCCCTTCCGCTTCTAATTATTGTATGATTTGTTTAGGACGGTGATGCTGGTGCCCAGGAGGAGATGCTTCGAAAACAGAGTAACAATATGATCAATGCAGTTGCCAGTAGGAACATTTTTCAGTTCGTTTGGGGCAGCTAACTTGCATTACATTCTCCTTTGAAGTTGGATTTTTGGGTGTCAATTCACTAAGCAAAGTTGAACACCATATTTTGTGTACTCCACTTCTCATTATTGAATAACATGTTTGTAAAATTGTTGGCACCATAACCAAGTTTTAGTTTGCCAGCAATTTGTATATTTTGTAAAGAAAATAGGCCCGTATATATGCTGCATAGGAGTTAATTGTTTTTTTTATCACATAACTATGATTAAGATTATAAATTAAGTATATCCAGCCCCTGTTGCTTTAGGCCTGCAAAAAGAACAGTGCTTTTTTAAGTCCTTCAAAATGATTAAATGATTAAGCTTGGTGGTGACTAATAGAATTCATGTTAATAACTGTCACATGTTAAGTAAGAGGTGATCGGTTTAATTGATTGCTCTCTGTATGCACTATTCAAAATCAATTGAAAGCACCCATGACTTTAGCAATTTTAAGATAAGCAAAGTAATTTATGTTCTATTAACGTTTGATTTGATCTCGTAAAATCTTGGTCAATTGTATGTTTTTTTTAAAATAAAATAAAATTGGATGAATAAATTATTTAAGTATACTAATGAAGCTCATGAGGATATGTAAAGATACATATTCAAATGCATGATTTACGTGCATTCTTTCAATTTAAAACAATAGTAAAACAATTTACATGGTCTAATGTTTTATACAATGAAAATATCATAAACAAATCTTCATATTGAAACAATACTATTCTTCAATGCACTTCGTTTGTTCAACTTTCTACGTTTTGGTTGTCCTTGTTAATTACTTCGATTGCATTCAACGAAATCAGTCGAAATAAAAATATATCAAATTCAGATTTAATTAATGTGAAATATGAAAGTTTAACACAAAGTAAACGAGTCATTCAATATCATTTTCACAATTAAAGTATTTCAACGTTCAAAAATTTATATAGTGGTGATAGTTACATCAAGCATTCTAACAATGGGCTTTCTTCTTGCACCTCCAAATTTCAATGTATTTTCAACTTTATCCTTTATAGTAAGAGGTGTCAATTTGATTCATGATTCATATATCAATATTTTTTAAAAAATTTCTTTTGAAGAGGCTAAGTGGAAGCTAGGAAAAAGTCTTATCCTAAAAGTCCCGTCTTAATGAATTAGGATTAAAGTGGGTTGTTCCTACTACAAAATTTTAATTAATTTTTATAAATAATATCATTTATGTATACATATAAAATATATATTTTATTAGAGAACTAATATATTATATTTTTTAATATTTTTATTATCACTTTTTTCATTTGTTTGATTTATCTGCATGTGTGCTCTATTTTTTTGATTTCTTGATGATTTTGAATTTCTAAACTTTTTTATCACTTGATTTATTGGTTGTTTCTTCCAACTAGAATTTCTACATCTTGTTAAAATTTGTTACATTTTCTATTATTGTGAATAAGGGATTTCTTAACTTTTTTTTATTCATTGTTATTGTCTCTTTCCAACTTTTGATTTTTTTTTCTCCATTCCTTTTTCTTATCTTATATTTAATTTTTTAATATTTTATTAATAAGTTATATATATTTTATTTTCCTCTAATACAAATTTTTCCTTCCTTATGTACTCTATTGTTCTTAATTCAATTACATATTTGTTTTCATTTACTTACAAAAAATTATTAAAAATAAAAAAAAAATACATCAATTCAAATATTAATATTACTATAAAATCCATACCCATTTAAGTAATTATACATATTAAAACACTTTTCATTAATATTACCTAAACAACTATTTGAACAAAAAGTATTTTTAAAATAAAAATATTCAAACATAAATCAAGTTTTACTCAACTTACCTTTTACTATATTTAAGTTGAAAAATTTAATTTCAACCAAAATTAACCTTTTCAACTTAAATCCAAATAGATACTTTTGAGTAGAGGAAAAGAAGGGAGAAGCAGAAGAAAAAGAAGAATGAATTGAAAATATAAATTTCTTCCGCTCACCGGTCAATTCGTTTTTTAGGAAATAAAAAAGTAAACTGATCCACTAGTTAATATTAGAAATGAAATAAGTAAGTTGATCCATGAATTGAAAATATAAATTTTAGACCTGCCAATTTTATCCAATATCAATTTTACATATATTTTATTTAGATCAGACGAAACCTTAGACCTGATTTTTTTATTTAAGGTATCATAAATAAATGTAAATTTGAGATCTAAAGTAAAGTTACAAATTAGTTAAAATTTTGAAATTATAATCATAAAAATAGAACATTAAAATTAAAATGAATATTTCTGCGGAAGCAGGAAATCATTTACAGAATCTGTTGGTTTTTATCTAATTTCTGGTTTTATCTGTTGTGGCAATTAAAAACCTGTTAAATACATGAACATGATTAGCAAAGTTGAACACTTATATTAGACTAACAAACAAAAACATATAAGATAAATCCAGCTTATGTTTTGATGAAACAAAACACATCAAACAATAAACAATTCAACTGAGAGAAAATTTGAGTAGATTTTCACCTCAAACTCAGGTATTGACTTGTTTGTTCTGTCCTATGTCCAAGGAGAAGTCACCAAGTGGAGGTTTTAGCTTTCAACACATAAATCCAATTTTTGTTTTGGAGGATCTTCCTAAGGTTTTCCTTGCTATCCTCATCATCTACCACTATGGAACAACTATGGCCTGTTTGGACATGTTTGTATTTGACAAGGATGCCTGTTTTGGCCAGCACTAAAATGTTGTACTTTACAAAGAGACAAATCTAGGTAGATAGCACCCGGCAATTCAGAAACTGCATATTCCTTGCTGCACCAGAAGAATGACAAATGAGAGGTGACATTAACAACCCCTTTTCCTGTCCATTCTCCATTCTTGAGAAACTCTTCAAGACAATACTGACTTATAAAACACTTCAGAGCTTTGCAACTTGCCGGGAAACAGTTTTTGATTTTTGGTTTTGTTGCTCTTAGAGGCTATATTTTGGCCTCACCGAAAACACCAACTGTTGTTAATTTGAAGTTGGTGGTGTGACTATTGATTTTCTGTCCAGGTTTCACCTTATGGACTCAGGTAATGATTTCTTTGTTTGTTTTCATGGCTAAAGAAAATGCTGCATTCAGAACAGAAAACAATAGAAAGAACGTTTAAACTGTTCATATGCTTCACTTGGTTCTCCTAATGATGTGATAGTTAAATAGTGGTTTGATAGTTTTAAGCATTTCAGAAGCATAACACTGTAAGAAGTGTAAAACTGAAGTGAAATTCTGAACTAAGAAATAAATATGTAACCAGTCTGTGTGGAATTAGGTGCATGATAAGTTGATCAATTACTCAATATAAGATAGATATCTAGGTATTATCATTACTGTTTACTTTTCCATATGAAAAATATACTTTTCTCTTCAACTAACTTCTCTTTTACAGTCTGAGTTTGATGAAAGAGCAGAAATAATTACCCCATGAAGTTGATGACCTGTTTATAGTAAGAATTTTGACTGTTCGTTTGCACTTTTTCTAATGAACAGTTTTCTTTAAACAAAAAGCATATACCACCCCCTTAACCTGCTGGATGGATAAGCTACTTGGGTCACACCAGCCCTTTAACTTGGTCGAAAAAAAAAACCAAAGCTTTTTGAAAACAAGAAACATAGAATCACTATTATACTATTGTATCTGGACACTGATGCTTGTTTCTCACATTTACATGCTGAGAGGAATGAACATCTTATATATTCTTTTTGGGGTCTTACTTATGCTAATTCCAACTATTATGGATTGAACAGGTTCACCATGCCAGTGGTTGAGGGAGTTGAGATTGGAGTCTCAGGGATTAAATCCAATAAGCCTTCTTATTGACTGTGCCAAATGTGTTGCATCTGGAAGCATCAAGAATGCAGATATTGGCCTTGAGTACATATCTCAGATTTCATCTCCTGATGGTAATGCAGTGCAAAGAATGGTGAGCTATTTCAGTGAAGCACTTGGACACAGGATAATAAAACATCTGCCAGGTGTATACAAATCTATCAGCCCCTCAAAAACATCACTATCTTCAGACGATATCCTTGCTGAGAAATACTTCTACGAGTTGTGTCCCTTTTTGAAGTTCTCATACCTGATCACAAACCAAGCCATTGTAGAGGCAATGGAATGTGAAATGGTGGTTCACATCATTGATCTCCATTGTTGTGAGCCAGCTCAATGGATAGATCTTCTACTCACTTTCAAAAACCGTCGGGGAGGTCCACCCCATCTGAAAATTACAGGCATTAATGAGTCGAAGGAAGTGTTGGATCAGGTGAACTTTCATGTGACATCTGAAGCTGGGAAATATGATTTTCCTTTACAGTTCTACCCAGTTGTTAGCAAACTGGAAGATGTTGACTTTGAGAAGTTGTCTGTTAAGACTGGAGATGCTGTTGCAATAACTTCTGTTCTTCAACTGCATTTGCTTCTTTCCACTGACGATGACATGGCTGGAAGAATCTCACCAGCAGTGGCAGCCTCCATGAATCTGCAGAGAACAGTGCATATGGGCCAAAGGACTTTTGCAGAGTGGCTTGAGAGAGATATGATCAATGCATATATCTTGAGTCCTGATTCTGCATTGTCACCTCTTTCCTTTGGTGCCTCGCCTAAGATGGGGAATCTTCTGAAGGCCATGCGAAAGCTCAATCCAAAACTGGTGGTGGTCACTGAACAGGAATCAAATCTGAATGGATCAAATTTGATGGAGAGAGTTGATAGAGCATTGTACTTTTACAGTGCATTGTTTGACTGCTTGGACTCTACTGTAATGAGAACATCAGTTGAGAGACAAAAACTTGAGAGGACTCTTTTTGGAGAGCAGATAAAAAATATCATTGCTTGTGAGGGAGTTGAGAGAAAGGAAAGACATGAGAAACTTGAAAAATGGATTCGAAGGCTTGAAATGGCTGGTTTTGTGAAAGTGCCATTGAGCTACAATGGGAGGATTGAAGCAAAGAATCTGTTGCAGAGATATAGTAATAAATACAAATTTAGAGAAGAGAATGATTGTTTGTTTGTCTGCTGGAGCGATAGACCATTGTTTTCTGTATCTGCTTGGAGTTTTAGGAGATGAATGTTCATATATGTGCTGGATATAAAGGAACCCTTGCATTGCCATGGATTTCAAGAGGTTTAAAATGAAGTAATCAACAAGACAAGAAGGTGGATGGGTTTTTATTTTCATCTTTCTTTCTTTTTAAAGTTTTTAATTGTTTCTGTATATAAAGGGTTTTATTGTTTTTGTTCTCTAGAGGAGCTGATGATTTGAAACAGCCAAACAACAAATCCATCTTGTATTCCTGTTGATGTTAATATCAATTCATTTCTGTAAAATATTCGCTTTTAATTCTCACCTGGGTTAATATGCCAACAAAATTTGTTCATATCACTGAACTTGGTTTGTATCTCTTTCAGTAATATCAGCACACAGAAATAACATTAGCTAAAACTCGTTCTTATTCACAATAGCTGAAAGTGGTTCCATTATCTATAAAAACTGCAAATACTTATAAGAAACTAGGCATAGTTTTGCTCAAGAAATATTTGTGTATGTATGTTACCTCAATGTCTTTGGCTGTGCCATGAAGCATTGGATAGGATAAGACAGATTGGCAAAAAGAACTCTTGTACCTTAGCTGAAATAAACATGTTTTTTATTCATTTTTGTTTATTTGGACCATTTCCATTAAGGTTATAGGGCCAGCTAGACAATACGGATTAGTAATTAGTGTTTGAATCCTTTGGTTTAAATGTAAAGCTACTTTTTGACATTAGATGGCATGAATGCATCTTTTTAGAGGCGCCTTGTATCGGAACAAGCCCTCCAATTGAGGGCTAAGGGAGTTTTCACTCTCACAGACAGTGTCAATGTTCAAATATCAAGTCCATTGAGACAATGTTCAGACATCAAGTCCACAAACAATACTAATGTTTAGAGGTCAAGACAAAAGACAATTTAAATACACCTTGCTCCTGCAATCTTCGAAGACGACTTTTAGGTTGACAATACTTCACATACGATAGATATTTTACAAGGCAAGACATCTTACTTATCAACATCTCTTATGACTGTCAAATGCTTCAAAAATATCAATATAGTGCAATTCATAGAACCTCACTTTTTGTTCCTATTCCATGTTTTGACCCTACTTGGTACCTAGATTTAACCAATTCACATATCCATAATCTCTTGCAATACTCATCATCTTCAGCATTGCTTTTAAAAGACTCTAACTTTTATGAGGTTACATTGCATATATTTTAGTAGATTTCCATGTCCACATAGGAAAATTACAAGATATTAAGCCTTGCTTTCTCCTTCCGTATATAGCATTGTTTAGACCTATAGTTGATGACTTTAGTTTTACATAAGAAGGTCGTGTATCTCAAAACACAAGGCAACTTTGTTTAAATGCTTCTCCCTTGTGGTATATTATACAAAACCTATGTTTATCCTAAAGATAAAATTTATACTTTTGACAAATGGTGCTAGAACATTTTTACACAAATCAGCATATATTTCATCTATGTTTGGTTTCATAGGAGTTGTCTCATTCTCGCTCCATAAACTAGGTAGTAATAATGACACCATGTTTGTCTCCTTTGAAAACAAACTTCTTCAGACAATGTCCTTATCTATGACTAGATAACCTTTTATATGCAGTCGAACAATAGTGGTTGGAGGCTTTAATGACTAACGCGGCAAAATTAACTTTCACACTCATCAAGACAAAGATGCAAGGAACCGTTTAGATATTGTTGGATTGTACTTGAATTGGACTTAGACACCCGATTTGTCCAACTAAATTCTCATCTTATTAGGTGAAATCAATGGTGACATGACCAACTCTTTTCATTGTTCCTAACTTGATGCAGATGTCGTTCATGACAAGAAATTTAACTTCTACTGGTTTACTTACCCCACAAAACCCAATACCATATTCTCTATGAAGCTTTACTTGCACTTATAGGGACTTTGGATGCTCTTGGGATCTTCATCTGTGTTACTCAATAGGATTGGCAATGTAGTGAGAACTAGAGAAGTTGCTTGGTGGTATACATTGTCTTTTGGGTGTCCAACGACAAACATATGGACACAGGTAATATACTCTCTCTACAGAATAGAACATTTTACATATCCCCCATGTAACCTTGTTTTTCTACGAATTTACAACATTTTAGATAGTAATAATGTGTTACATAAAGTGCTAGAACAATTTGTCATTTGACCTTGTATCTTGTTCTTCTCACCAAGGATGAACTATCTCAAAAGCTTAAGGTTGTGAATCATAAAATTTATGTGCATGTTGTCATGAGAAGAGTTTATTGCGAGATAATTGATGGAAAATGATGAATCATTGATACAACTGATTATTTCTCTTGCAGCAGTATTTCTGTACGAATTAAACTAACTTGCAATACTAGTGAATTTGCAACACTCTTATTGTATTTAGAGTGCTCTTTCCAGTTGTCCTGATAAAGCTATCTCTTAATATATTAGATTCACCATACCCTTGGCTCAAAGATATGAATGGGGAAGATAGGGATGAATACCTGGCCCGTATTCTTAACGCATGTGCAAAGTTTATTGAATCAGGAAGCATCATGAATGCAGATACTGGACTGGACTATATTGCTCATATTGCCTCCCCTTATGGTGATGCAATGCAAAGGGTAGCCACCTATGTTAGTGAAGGTCTAGCCTTCCAAGTTCTGAAAAACTTGCAGGGAGTACCTAAAGCTGTCAATCTGTCAAAGACAACGTCAACCTCGGAAGAACAACTTGTTAAGAAGACATTCTATGACCTGTATCCATTTTTAAAGACTGCATACGTAATCACAAGTCATGCCATTGCTGAAGCTGTTGAAGGAGAAGAAGTGATCCATGTCATTGATCTCTGTGCATCTGATGCTGCTCAGTGGATTTATCTTATGCATAGATTAAAAGAAAGCCTGAAGAGCCCCTCACTTCTGAAAATCACAGGCATACATGAGAAGAAGGAAATTCTAGAGCAAGTGGACACTCAACTAAGAGCAGAAGCTAAAAGTTTGAACTTCAAACTCGAATTCAATGCTATTGTAAGCACTTTGGAGAATGTTGACCTTGAAGAATTGCCTGTGCAGAAAGGAGAGCCTCTTGCAATCAGCTCAGTGCTTCAGCTGCACACTCTTCTGGCCACTGATGATGCAGTGGTCTGCAACAGGAGCTCGAAGGAAGAACCAATGCATCAAAGGACATTTGCTGAGATGCTTGGGAAACAAAAGACCAACCTCAGTTCTGAATCATCGTTGTTACAACTTTCTCTGTGTGCTACTTCAACCAAGATGATGGACTTTCTAAAGGGCCTGTGGAAACTCCAACCTAGAGTGATGGTGGTTACTGAACAAGAATCCAGTGGCAATGGTTCTTTGACAGAAAGGGTTGACAAAGCATTGGACTTTTACGGTGCATTGTTCAACTGTTTGGAATCAACTGTTTCAACAACACTAGTACAGAGAAACATCATGGAAAGGACTCTACTGGGGCAAGAAATAAAGAACATTGTTGCAGGTGAAGGAGTTGAGAGAAAGGAAAGGCATGAGAAACTTGAGACTTGGATCCCAAAGCTAGAAATGGCTGGGTTTGGGAAGAGACATATTAGCCATCATGGGATCACGCAAGCAAGAAAACAGTTGCTCGGTTATGGAAATTGATACAGGCTTTGTCCCGACAATAATTCTTTGTTTGTCTGCTGGAATGATAAACCTCTCTTTTCTGTGTCAGCCTGGACAGTTCAGAAGATGAATAACATGGTTATGTAACAAAGTGTATTGCTGTGGAATGCACATCAGATAAGGCATAAACTATATTGTATTCAGTTATCTCTTACAAGATGCTATAATTTTAGTTTAATTCAACCCTTTAAAATCTGTTTATTAGTAAGATTTGAATTTACTTATACATTTGGAATAGTAAACACGATGAAAAGGAACGTGTTCTTTTCTGTTATATGTGATGAATCCTTAAATATTATTAAAAAATGGAACTTTAAACATAACCGACTTGTTCCTAAGATTATTAGCTTTATCTTTATTCCATGGATTTCCAATAAATTGGATAATTATTGATTTTTGCTAAAAATATTACATGAATTAAAAATATGATCAATTCATGAAACATTAAAAAATATAAATATCATGTTTCAAGTTTTATAAGTCGGATATTAAATTAAGTTTAAAATTTATTTCTTAATAAAATATTATAACGATATATTANGCGCCGCTGGCGGTGGTGGACCCCAGGTTGGGTGGGGCGTTTGATGAGGTGGAAGTTTTGGTAGTGATTAAAGTGGGGTTGTACTGTTCCGCGGAGACACCAGAGAAGAGGCCCAGCATGAGGCAGGTGGAGAGGTATTTGGAGAGGGAGGTGGTGCCGCCTCCGCGGTGGTTTACGGGAAAAAAAGAAGATGGTGGTGGTGGCTACTACGAGGAGTTACATAATATGATGTTTTGAAATGAACGTGAAATCTGAATTGAAGCATCTGAAATTATGGTTTCAATTTACATTTTGTGTGATACTGTCTGAACCTCTGCTTCAATTGCACAAAATTAATTAAAAACCATAACTGGCCAATTTATCCCCAATTAAAATAAACCCAATTTCTAAATAAAACTCAAACTTCTCTAATTCAACACCACGTAAGCACGCACACAATTGCATTTTGATACCTAACCACTAACTACTGTCAAATCATCATCCCATTAACTCTCTGTGCTTATATTTAACGGAAGGGACTAACTTGACTCACAAATTTAATTTACAAGTAAGGATTCATTACAATTACTTTTCTAATAAGGGACTGCATTGAGATTTCCGAATCAAACTTGGGACAAAATTGGGTATTAAACCTAAATTTAAAATTCACATTTAGATCTAGGCCTAGATATTTCTCATGTTATTATCACACTTGTTTTGTATAACCTTTTACCTTAATTTTTATTTATATGATTTCGATATCTTCTGTTAAATTTGTATTTAGATTAATGATTGATATTTCTCATGTTATTATCACACTTGTCTTGCCTAACCTTTACTTTAACTTTTATTTGTATGATTTTGCTATTTTTGGTTGAAACTATATTTAGATCAATGGTCGATATTTTTCTTGTTATTATCACTTGATTTTTTGTCTTTCAATATTTACATTCCTTATAGTTAGGTTTGACAAGCACAAAATCCATATTTATTATTTACATTTATTTAAAAAATGAAAAAAAGATAATCTAATTTCACTTTCTCACTAATACTTGAGAGTTATCTTTGATGAATTTAGAAGGGAGATAGTGAAAAAGATGGTGAGTTTAACTCCATTAACAAAATAATAACTAATATTTAACGATAAAAAAAACTTCACATAATTGGCTTAAGCGTTAGAGTGTCACTATATGGTAGTTGGACCTTAAAGACATCTCATACTTCTACTAAAGGAGTTCGAAGACGATTTGAGTTGTGAGGAGGTTGTAGTTGGCGAGTTGTTCTAGTAAGTTTATATGTATTTAGGTTTGAAATCACAGGTAAACTCTAGAAAGGGGAGGTGGGGTGACGGTCTGGGCACAGAATGTTGAACATTTATGAATGAATTCTTATAAAGCGTTTAGGAATTTTTTAAAGATAACAAGGAAGAAGACTTGTTTTTATACTTTCAAACTGAGATATGTCCGGTTTTCCCTTAAACACTCTTAAGGATTTCATTAATCTTTAAAAAGATTGCAACGAGTTTAACCACTCTACACTAATTAATTGACTATACGAGTTTCATCGCTCCTAGTTTATAAATAGTTCAACTAACTATATTGTTTAACTTCACTAAGTTAAACAAATAAGTATTTTAAATCACTTTTGATTCTACAAAAACAACAAAGTGTTTTCATCAAAAACAAGATGATAATTCTCATAAAGAGGATAAATTTTCAATACAATGAATATCTGAAAACTTATAACAGATTTTCTTCTCAAAACAAGTGTTAGACGATGCAAGCGGAGAAAGAATGTTGATAGCGTAATAGAAAAAATAAATCTTGTTCATGCAATCTTCTTTATATAGTCTTATTTGAAAAATATCCATTACTCGAGGATAAGTAGCCTTTTGGTACGAAGTCAAATGTTATATGTTTTTGTAAATATAGCATGTACGGATGAACAAATTATAAAAAGTTTGAAGAGATATTCTCATAATTTCTTCCTATTTCTTAAAGTTCTTCTGATTTAATGTAGAACATTTGAAAAAGCTTTGTACTTTTATGATCTGCGAAAGATGATGATGACGTGGCGAGATGATGATGTCAGTCTCTACTCTCGTTTCGTTTTTTTTATGTGGACTCTACGCCATTAGTGATTTAGACGCCGCCAACGAAAATGATTAAATTGAACAAATTTTACAAAAAAAAAATGAGACTATTTTGAACATCGAAAAATAATGAATATAAAAACCTAAATAAGTATTAAACCAATTTAAAAATATCATCTTTTAAAACAAAATATTTACAAATATTTTGGTTTAAGGGGAAATTTGTTAAAGGCTAAGGTTGTGCATATGTGTAAAGAGTTACGAAACTTAAGTCCAAGTAGTTAGTCAGTAGCCATATTCTTAACAAATAATTTTGTTATTACTCTTATAATTTTATTTTCAGTTGGTAGTAGGTTCCTAATTTCTAACATTTAATAATTTTGTATTTATCTATTTAAAGTTCTTCATTAAGTAAGTGAATAATATGTAGCTATTCAATATACCTCTAAGTTATTTTCTTATTTTTAACTTTTCTTTCACTAATACAAAAGTCGCGTACAACGTCGAATATTTTGGGCTTTTAATGGCGAATTCGCGAACGACGTTGTATTAGGAGACGTTAAATTGACGTCGAATTTAAAAAATTCAACGTTAATCAACTTTTTTTTTAATTAATTGTGATTTTTTTTACAACTCTAGGAGACATGAAAAGCAGAAAAACAACAAATTTCAGTTTTTGGTATTTTACAAAGCAAGAACTATGAAGGTGTACTGTAGTATCAACAACAAACAAAAATAACCAACAACAAACAAAGTTCAATCAAACAACAACAATAACAAACAAGTTCAACGAAACAACAACAACAACAAACAAGTTCAACAAAAGAAACAATAAACAAGTTCAAAAAATAAGTTCTTCAAAACCAAAACGAAAACTAACTTTCAAAAGTTGGATTCGTCGGAATAAAGTGTCGTTACCCGTGAGAGAGAAAACAGAATGCACATATGAAGGACAAACACGAAAATAATCGATCAAAACAAACGAAAATCATACATAAAGTAGTTAATTAACATGCATTTTATCAAATGAAAGAAATATTACATGCGATGGTCGTCAAATTTCGTTCGAGAAAAGTTTGAGAAGAGAAGAGCGTCTCGCGCGTTAAGATAAAGTGAATGTCAAATTTTTATTAAATTCATTAATAATTACATTTATTTATAAAACTGCCACCGATCATTTTTTAACATTTTTTAACGCGTGACGTTATATGTGTTTTTGTATCTGTAGTGTTTATAAAAGAAAAATAGTGCACTAGTAGTAACATTTATTTGCTTGTAACAATTCTTCCATTTATTTGATTGTAACAATTTTATCTGCTTTCTTGTTATTATTATTATTATTATTATTATCATCATCATCATCGTTCTTTAAAATGAGTGGTAAAAAAAACATATATTATTATTATTATTATTATTATTATTATATTTCTTCTTACTTAGTATTAAATGAAAAACAAAAGGTGGTATATTTTATTGTAAGAACTGAACAGAAAAATTATTTATCTTGGTTACTTTCAAAATTGGTGAGATAAAGATTCTTTGTATTTATTATTAGAAATATGTAAAAATAAATTATTATTCAAATGAATATTTTTTAATTTTATTTTTCGTTTAGCCACATTTGCAACATTATTGACCAATTTTATCTTACTTTTTATAAAAAAACCGTTATTTTTAATAAAACACAACTCATAACTCATTCACACACCTAATGGCTTATGTATTCATGGTACAATACACTGAAACACTTTTTTTTTTTCTTTCTCTCTTTGCAACCTTATAGTATCTCTGCTCCTCTCATGTTTTGATTTTCACATTTTCTTTTTTACTTCACCCTGATCCCTTAAGAGTTATTAAGCAAATCTTTCTCTTTCTCTTTTGTAATATTAGTCTTTTTCATCACAAGAAAGCATTATAATAACAAAATGGATCATTATATGTTAAAATATATCAAGGAGTTTTTAACAAGGAAAATGCAATTTACTCTTATGAAATGCATGAGAAAATTTACATATTAATTATTTATAAAATTCCATTACTCCAAGAGCAGTAAAGGCACGAGAAACAACTCTGAAAGAAGAAAATTCAGAAATTTGGCATAAATTCATAAACTCTTTTTCTGTTCTTTCACTTCCTCCATCAAGAAACATCAGGTTATCAAAGCTAGTAACCATCTTATCTGCTTCAGAAGAACCAATTGCTTCAGGCATTATGAAATCTACAACAACCACCTTTCCATTTTCTGGCAATGCTTTGTAGCAATTATTTAGAACTTTCAAAAAAAACAAAAAAAAAACAATTTTCACATAAACATTTCAATTTTTCATCAACAATCCGCGACCAATTGGTGCAACTAATGGCCCTAAAAA